TCCACGGAATCGAAGAAATTGCTTTCCATCAAAGCGAGATGCATCCCGGTGCCGAGTCAGAAATTGTTCGATCAGTATTTGCCCTCCTTTTCCGGTAGGCATTCGCACATTTTAGACGGCGCGATCCCCGCGTTCGGCTCAATTAACTCCTAGCAAATTGTCTGAAATTGAATTTTCGTTTCATCGTTTCATCGCTGTGTATGCTTATCGGCTACAATCAAAGTTAGGATTATTGGTGAAAGTGTTCCCAATTTATTCCATGATGAAACTTCATGATTTTGGATATATAATCTGAATATTATCGGTCTTTATTTAATTGTGAAGTTGTGTTCTCTTGATTAACTATCAAAAGGATGTTTTAGATTTACACTTACAGTTAGTATTATTAATTTTATATTGTGCTATTAAACCGTTTACTTAGGTTAATAATTTTTTAAGCGCGTTAGAAACTTAAAATGAAAAGATTATACTAAAATTATTATAATATTGTATAAATTTGGATAACTTTAAATAATAATTAGGAATTTTATGATAGATATGATAAAATTTACAGCGCGTTAAAAAATGTAACGAAGAGAATGTATGTTTCCATAAAATACATTTATTTAAGACTTTAGTACATACACATAGACTTTTAACATTGAAATAAAACATTTTATTCCTTATTTAGAAAATTGTATATAAAAGTTCAACTACCGAGTGGACGGAGGATAAAGGATGTGCGCTTATAAAAAATTATGCATGCACACATGAGAGTAATTATAATATATAGAACATGAAAATCATTATAGTCAATCGACTCGTTATTTCAAGGTAACGTGGCAGGAATCGATAACAGTATCATATATATAGAAGTGCCTTACTAATAATAAACTGATGACACGAAAACATGTCATAAAGTGGCGTATCACTTGGATAGTTATTGTAGTATCTATAATCTGGTTAAATTTAGTAGAATAGCTTGTGTTTTCTTTCCCGGCGAGTAATTGTATGCGTCTGAAGTATGCGTCTGCGGTATCATCGGTGCCAAATTGCTCCGAACACTAATCTTTGTGAATTTCATAGTCAGGGACAACAGAGATATCGATGTTAGAGACATAATTTAGATTGTAATTAGGGATATAGTTAGGGATCGAAATTGAAGGCTCAATACTATGAGCTGAATTGGAGTTTCTCAGAAATTCTGAACTCCTCCAAATCGTTCGAAGAATAGTTTGGAGTATCCTTAGGAATTGGTAGGATAATTACCATAAAAGAATTCACATATCGATGGAATATATTGTTTAGGTATGTCCGGTTCGAAAAAACGCCTTACTTCATCGATATCGGATGTACATGAATTCTTTTCATTTTTCGTTACCGGTGCATCAGTAGTACTCGAAAACTTTTGATGAAAAGGAATGTGTGAATTCATCTTGTTTTGTCTTGCCTCAGCTAGGTTGATGCCCTTATCTTCGAGGAACTTCAACAGCTACGTATATAATGCATTTTATTAATTATTTGTAGAAACATATTTTTTTTCTCTCTTTCAAAGAATGTTATATAAGATATTTTGTACCATAAATCCTATGAATATAACATACTTTACATTGCAGAAAAAAGTATTTTTCAATATTAAAGTTGCAGATAGTGAATTCTATTAATCAAATTTAGATTGAGATTTAATTGGAAAATATTTATGTAAAAGATCCCTATTGTTTCAGTCGTAATAGTTAATTAAATTTCTACAAATTGGACAAAAATATCTTCTAATGACATCAATTATATTAACATTAGAATCTTTACCATTGTATATTGACATAGGACATTAACGTGTGCACTGATTTTGGAACGTTTCGAAGATAAATAGGATATCATGTCTTGTCTTGCCCAGTCCGATAGAAAAGGGGTTATGCCCAGATGATCGAGTGACTTTAATAGCTATGTACATAATGTATTTTATTAATTATTGTAAAAACATTTACTCTCTCTTTCTAAAAATATCATATAAGACATTTTGTATCATAAACCATACGAATATTCAACATATGAAATACGAAATACTGGCCATAATGATTAAAGTCAGATCTTTTTAATGCTTAATATTTCAATATGAATTACTATATACTATGTATGTAGATGCATATATACCATATTATTAATCATTCGAATGAATATTATATACTTTACATTGCAGAAAAGAGTATTTTTCAATATTAAAGTGGCAGATAGTGAATTCTTTTAATCAAACTTATTAGATAGAGATTTAATTGGAAAATATTTACGTAAAAGATCGCTATTGTTTCAGTCGTAATAGCTAATCAAATTTCTATAAATCGGCCAAAAATAATTTCTAATGACATCACACAAATTATATTAATATTAGGACTTTACCGCTTGATATTCATGTAGGAGAAGGAAGTATGAAGCCTCTGGAGTTTCTAGTAGCCTTGGAGTTTCTATTAGCATTTTGATAAAATCATCTGACAACGGCAGAAATGCATCTCGGTATTTGATATTATGATCGTCATTCGAAGGTTTCTCCGGAAATTGTTCGAATCTTATACGTGTAGAAGGCCTATTGCTACGAAGACATAAATTTCCGTCATTAAAAACTTGTTCATTTTCCTGAGAATTCTCATCGAAATTTAACGTGCTCGGATTAGAACGAAATTTGATAATCCCCTGTTGCATTGTGTTTTCGCTTGTATGTTGTTCAGGGAACCGTATATTTTGTGGATGTATGCCTAATAAACGTGGTCTCATTATATGGTCGATATTGATCTGACGGTTCTTCACATGCTTATCTGTAATTAAGCAGTTTACACTGACAGTGGATTCATGTTAATATCGATACACTAATTTACGTTTGCCTTTCATTGGAATTCATATGCATATAAATTGGAGTTGCGCGATTTTCGCGGAAATAAATAGGACATAGATAGCACATTAAATTATCCTATGGAGATATCGAACTTTATTTTTTTTCTTTAAGATTTTTACCATTAGTATCAGTAGGCTCG